GTTAGAAACAATGTGTACTGAAATGTTACGTAATATAAGTACGGCTGAAAATGGTGACAGATGTAGAAGTGTCTTGAAGCAACAAAAAAGTGGTTCTACAGATTGATGCTGAGAATACCATAGACTGAATATATGAGTAAAAGGATTTTTAATGAAAAAGACACTTATATTTATCATCAGAAAAAAACAATTGAAAATTCTAGGGTAGATAACGAGGAAAGAGGCCTAGGAAAATGTGACATAAGACAAACTGAAGGCAAGAGGAACAGGGAGAAAACAGCACATAACTTACCTAACGTGCTTGAGGAACGACAGAACTTGGTTTAAGAGAGGCAACAAAAAGACAAAATTTACTAAGATCTACAAAGAAGAGAAAATTGTGGAAAGACATGATTGCCAACACTCTGAAGTGCCAACACATAGAAGAAGATCCTAGTTTGCTTTATCAGGTCTTCGTACGAGAATACAATTTCTGTGAAGTTGCATTTTTGAGATTCTTCACTTTACTTGAGCGGTTGTCTTCATCTTTGTTGCTTTCTGTCAAAAATTTATCCCGATGATTTTCTCAAATGTCCTTTAGACGTATGTTGTATCCGGTGCTCCATGGAAGTCGCTAAATTGTCTTTACTTCCTTTTCCTTTATCTTCGCTAATCTTTATCTTCAAAATAATCCCGCCAGTTTTAAAAAATACACCAACTAACGTTTTGCGTAATGGTTAACAAGATTCTCTCATCGGTCTCTATAGAATGAATTCGATTTTCGCTGAAAACTTTTGTTTTCAGGGGAGGGGGGGCATTGTGTTTTGAGAAGTCTTAGTTCAGAGCTACGGTCAATAAGCTAGTCGCGCAAACGAATCCAACTTCAGTGTGTTATGTGGCTTTATATCAGAATAATATATCTTTCTTTTCTTTACACTTGACAATTCATATCGCTTCTTGTTCTTGTTCTTCTTGGCTATATTCTCTCTTTCTCTTCGTTTATGCATTTCTTCCCTTATTCTTCCACTTAATAAGTTTCTTACTTTTCTTTTTTCTTTGTTCTTATTTTCCTTTACTTTTTATTCTATTTTTCTTCATTTATTTTCTTTTTCTTTTTCTTCACAACCAGATTATTTTGCTTTTGTTAATTTTCCTTTCCTTTTTATTTTCCCTACTTTCTATTCGATGATTTCTTTTTTTTTCTTTTGATTTGGTCAAATACTATAACTTCGGCTTAATCAGTTTAGCGTTTCTTTGTTATATTCATGTTTCTTTTCACATATCTATCGTTATTATTATTAGTTATTATCTACACTTTTTAATTTCCTAATCATTCATTTACTTCTTTCAATTCTGCTAGTTTTTTCGTTTTATACTTAAAAATCTTCTTCTTCTTCTTCTTCTTCTTCTTCTTCTTCTTCTTCTTCTTCTTCTTCTTCTTCTTCTTCTTCTTCTTCTTCTTCTTCTTCTTCTTCTTCTTCTTCTTCTTCTTCTTCTTCTTCTTCTTCTTCTTCTTCTTCTTCTTCTTCTTCTTCTTCTTCTTCTTCTTCTTCTTCTTCTTCTTCTTCTTCTTCTTCTTCTTCTTCTTCTTCTTCTTCTTCTTTTCTTCTTCTTCTTCTTCTTCTTCTTCTTCTTCTTCTTCTTCTTCTTCTTCTTCTTCTTCTTCTTCTTCTTCTTCTTCTTCTTCTTCTTCTTCTTCTTCTTCTTCTTCTTCTTCTTCTTCTTCTTCTTCTTCTTCTTCTTCTTCTTCTTCTTCTTCTTCTTCTTCTTCTTCTTCTTCTTCTTCTTCTTCTTCTTCTTCTTCTTCTTCTTCTTCTTCTTCTTCTTCTTCTTCTTCTTCTTCTTCTTCTTCTTCTTCTTCTTCTTCTTCTTCTTCTTCTTCTTCTTCTTCTTCTTCTTTCTTCTTCTTCTTCTTCTTCTTCTTCTTCTTCTTCTTCTTCTTCTTCTTCTTCTTCTTCTTCTTCTTCTTCTTCTTCTTCTTCTTCTTCTTCTTCTTCTTCTTCTTCTTCTTCTTCTTCTATTCTTCTTCTTCTTCTTCTTCTTCTTCTTCTTCTTCTTCTTCTTCTTCTTCTTCTTCTTCTTCTTCTTCTTCTTCTTCTTCTTCTTCTTCTTCTTCTTCTTCTTCTTCTTCTTCTTCTTCTTCTTCTTCTTCTTCTTCTTCTTCTTCTTCTTCTTCTTCTTCTTCTTTTCTTCTTCTTCTTCTTCTTCTTCTTCTTCTTCTTCTTCTTCTTCTTCTTCTTCTTCTTCTTCTTCTTCTTCTTCTTCTTCTTCTTCTTCTTCTTCTTCTTCTTCTTCTTCTTCTTCTTCTTCTTCTTCTTCTTCTTCTTCTTCTTCTTCTTCTTCTTCTTCTTCTTCTTCTTCTTCTTCTTCTTCTTCTTCTTCTTCTTCTTCTTCTTCTTCTTCTTTCGCCCTCAAAGCAAATGTCACGCCAGAGCCGATGGGCTTTGTTTACTAACTTCTCTGATATATCACTGGTTTTCTGCTTTTATCAATTAGACAGTATAGATATTTCAATGTTACACTTCCCGCCATTGAGTCTTTTTTCGGCTGCTCTTGCGACTCTTCTTCTTGTTGATGCGTTCGTCATCGTTGTTGTATAAACTAATGTTCGACCATTATGCGCAGTTTCAACACTGAGATCGCTTCTGTTCGCTTGTTTGGAAGACCTTTCATTTCAGTATTTCGAGGGCAATCTTTCTCTACTGAGTCTTTCATTCTTTTGCATATATTGTCCGAAGGGGCCGTCATCTTTTTTCTCAGACTTTATGAGGCTTTGTGAAAAAATCTATTTAGCTATATACAGAGAGCGTTATCTGTTTGCGAGGAGCTCTTCTATTATAGGCGGGCGATTTACTTTTGATTTATTCTCGTTCGACGGTTTGTTTTTAACAGGAAGTGATGGCGTGCCGAGCCGCGTGTACGCATGCGTGATCACAGACGAAGGAATAGTCGGGTGTAATTTATATAGAACATATATTCGTGCATATATAGCGCTTATATATATATATATATATATATATATATATATAGAACAATTCATGAATAGAGGTAAGATTTTCAGTATTGATCGAAATAGAGGCATATATTCAAGAGAAGTAAGTATATATATATATATGTATATATATAAGTATTTAAGAGAAATAAGTTTATATATATATATATATATATATATATATATATATATATATATATATATATATATATATATCCACGTGTTAGCATTGCTAGAGATATATACAATGGAGCAAGGAAAAATTTGCAGCCGAACCAACACATCATTCAAATGGTTTTATGTTTGGTCAAATTTTGGGAATTGAGCGGTGTCAAATTTTTTTTAGTGTCACAGTGTACATATATACTTTAACATCAAATATATAAACGCATATAGACACAGTATGTGTTATCTATATCTATAATTACCAAAATGTGAGTGTGTGATCGGATATTTATGCGTTTCGACATTTTTCATCCGATTTCGATGAATCCTTTTTGTTTGATAGATAATTCTTTCAGAGCCGGTTTTGAATCCAAACTGGCTGGAAAAAATTACAACCTTGAAGGTTAAAAAATGTAAAAAAAAAATTTGCGCAAAAATTCAAAGGCAAAATTTAATGTCTGTAACAAACAGCGTACAATCAATTTAGAGAGTTGTAATCTAGCGCAAAAGATTATTAGAATTATAAACAATTATATTATAAATAAAAATTATCGTATATTATTATTATGACGGTCCATGGAAGAGATTCCTTACTTGCAAGATTGGGAACCCAAAAACGACCCTTTTCAGGGCTATTCCCCTTTCACATTTTAACCCCCCCGTTTTTCAGGATGTGCCTCGGTGGTACCCAATTGTTATTACTAATATTGATTTTTGGGTAGGCTGACGTCAAACATAAACTACAAAAATTCTCATTAATGAAACACCCGGTGAAAGACCGGTTATACTGCTAGTCGGTTGTATTATCGTGACGGTTATTGCGAGGGCGGGAACGCTGATATTTCAAATTATTCTAGAGACTACTGAGTGGAAATAATTGTGTTATGTGTCTATTCGTTGTTTGTTGATTTGTTTATTATTAACAGTACGAGTTCGATTCATGGTAGTGGATCCACACTGCGGATGAGTCCCCAAATAGACGAAACGGCCGTCCGGTGTTTTCTGCATTCTGTTGAGCATTCTTGTTCTAGACTCGATAAATCATGTGAAATAGACGACCATTTATTCATCCTTAATTCAAATACGCCCCTTTTTTCACTTTATATATATATATATATATATATATATATATATATATATCAACAAATGAAAACTACAGACAAAAGTTCATTTTCTCTATCAAGATATTCCATATATATATATATATATATATATATATATATATAAATGAAAGCTACAGACAAATGTTCATTTTCTCCATCAAGAAATTAATTTCTGTAGTTCACTGCTACCAGGAAGCAGAATTTTTTTTCTCCTGATGATGACCATGTTGGCCGAAACTAGTCGAGGAATCTAACCGAAATAATAATAAAAACGAAAGAATATTAATATACCACCCAGTGTGTCTAAAGATTTTAATTTTTTAATATTTTTTATTGTTCAATATATATCAATATATCGTTAGAAACAAAGAAAAGGGTACTGAACTGTTATGTAATATCGGTCATTCTATGCGCCAGTGAATGCCGAACAATCCCCTTAATGATGAAGAATGGATTTGAGGCGGGAGAAATGGGGTGTCCCCTGAAGGAAGCTGATAATACCATGGGTAGAACAATTGAGCAACTACGAAGTTTTAGAGAAAATGGAATCAAAATGGACACTTCTGCTTGGCATCAGAAACAGAATGTTACAATTTCTAGTGCAGATAATGAGGAAAGAGGGCTTAGAAAATATGACACTCACAGGGTATATTGAATGCAAGAGGTAGAGAGAAAAGCAGTGCAGAACACACCTAACCAGGATGTGTAAATGATGGATGGCAGAACGGAGATTAGGAGGGACAACAAAAAGACAAAATTTACTAAGAGCTGCACTGGAGAAAAATTGTAAAGCGCCATGATCGCCAACGTCCTGAAGGGACACGGCACATAGAAGAAGAAGAATAGGAAGGAAGAAGAAGAAGAAGAAGAAGAAGAAGAATAGACGAATAAGACGAAGAAGAAGAAAAAGAAGAAGAAAAAGAAAACGAAGAAGAAAAAGAAACGAAAACGAAAAAGAAGACGAAGAAAATAAGGAGAAGACGAAGAAAAAGAAGAAGAAGAAGAAAAAGACGAAGAAGAAGACGAAAAATAGACGAATAAGACGAAGAATAAGGAGACGAAGAAAAAGAAAACGAAGAAGAAAAAGTAAACGAAAACGAAAAGGAAGACGAAGAAAAAGAAGAAGACGAAGAAGGAGAAGGAGAAGACGAAGAAAAAGAAAAAGAAGAAGAAAAAGACGAAGAAGAAGATGAAAAATAGGCGAATAAGACGAAGAATAAGAAGACGAAGAAAAAGAACTAGAAGACAGAGAAGAAGAATAAGAAGACGAAGAAAAAGAAGTAGAAAACAGAGAAGAAGAAGAAGAAGAAAAAGAAGACGAAAAAGAAAAGGAAGACGAAGAAAAAGAATAAGAAAAAGAAAACGAAAAAAAAGACGAAGAAAAAGAAGAAGACGAAGAAGAAGTAGAAGAAAAAGTCGAAGCAGAACAAGAAGTATGGCCTAATAAAATCTGACATCGTGTAAGTTCATTGAAAATAAGAAAATTAGGTTTAAAATTAAATACGTGCTGTGTAAAATAGAAAATTGTGGAGAACCATGATCGTCCACGTCCTGAAGAAAACTGGCAAATATGATAATAAGAAACAACTCCACAATCTTTTTCATTCTGATCGTCTTCGCAGTGAAGGATAATTTCATTACAAATGCAATATACAGGCAATTAAATAGTTTTGTCTTCTTTTTGTTTTAATCATTTCACCCCAAGCAAGGCAATGTTGCCATTAAGACGCATGGAATTACTGTAAATGGAAGACATTGAGAAGACTTTAGTGATGGGAAAGGATAATAAAAGAAAAGCTTTCATGTAAGACAAAAGATGTCGATTGGCATTGCATTTAAATTTTTGATGATCATCGATAGCAAGTAACCAAGAAACCGGAAGAGAGATCTACAAGTGAGAAGTGCGAGAAAAGAAACTATTAGAAAAATCGCCATGAAAAATAGAAAAACTTCCATGAAAATGTTTATAGAAAAGACAGATAAAAGGCACGTCACGGCGGTGTGAAAGTAACTGATGTCGAGATGCCAGGTCAGGACCGATAACATTACAAATTCTTCTTTGGATTTTATCGAGTATCTCACTATATATATAGTCGGAGTACAAGACTAGATATGGCAGCCGTATTCAATGCACGGATGAATGGTCGATTTATAAATTTGCCATATGTATTGTGACGAGAAAAATCTTCTGGGGTGAAAGAAACTTTTTAGTAGCTAACTTCGGAACTGATTCTTTATAACCACATGCCGTGAACGCAGGAGAACGCAATATATTGTTCTCTTAAAGATTAGCATCAGACCATGATGATGAATTGTAAAATGATATGATATTTAAAGGATAACAGTTTCGTTTTGGAGTCGTTAAAATTTCTCAGCCAATCATTGCTCCAAACAATTAACCACCGATTGTACGTCCTTTTCTGGATCAGTTGCCAGTTTTACTATGTCGGATCTACTGGATTTCCTATTAGGACTGGGGTAAATAGTTGTATCATTAGCTTCAATACTTATTCGGGAACTGATGACATTAGGAAGATCATTGATGGAAATAGAGCACTAATGTGTGAACTCTTTGTTACTATTAACAGAATATGACGCAAAACTTTCAAATATCGATACCAGACCCACTCAGAGCTTGCTGATAATTTTCATTATCATATCAGTCGAAAATTTAGCCTCCACTTGCCATACTGTACCACCAAAACTTGAATACTTTGAACTTGAGAGAAAGAGCCACACACAGAGAGATAGAGTCAGACAGAAAGACAGAGACAGAGAGAGAAAATTCAGAAGCCGAATTGAGACTGTTTTCGAGGCTAAATGCGGTATATATATTTATAAATCTTATTTTCTTTAAAATATACCTATTTTGCAATAAAAAAGTATATTTTTGTCATAATCTGTTCACAGTTACCATGTGCGAACTATATATATATATATATATATATATATATATATATATATATATATATATATATATATATACTGGCCACTCGTATTCGAGGATACCCGTTTAATAAGACGTCTAGACAATCCCTATTGCAGATGCGCACTCAGGCGCATTTATGTTTGTTCAACACTCACAGAGCCTACCTGTGGTTTATACCTCAACAATGCTGAGCAGACTTTAGTTACAGTTTCTGGGAGAGAGCGTATTATGTAGCATAATCAGCAATCTGAACAAGGCTAGCACACTCAGACCATCAGTCCCGATGACTTGTTACTTCGTGCTAGCACAGCCATCTTCGGCCCGCAAGAGTT